GAGAGAGAGAGAGAGGGAATGATTAGATTTTACTTATAAAAAAAGGCCCATTACCCATTTTTTTTTTAAAAAGAAATTTAGGGATTCTTTTTCATCATCATCATCATAATTGTTTATCACTTTTATTAATTTACCTTCCAATTTTTCTTACATGATTTTTTTTTTTATTATTTTTTTTCCTCTTTCCCTTCTAAATATATATTATCCCCGCATAAATAACATTCAAATATATACACATATATATACAAATATATACGCGTAAAAAAAACTCCAATTCAACCTTTCCATATATCCATACTTTTTTTTTAGATTTTCTTTTTTTTTATTTTAAATAAGGAAAACTTTGTAAAAAAAAAAAATGAATAAAAAAAAGAGTTAAAAAAAGGTCTCCTGGATATACCAATGTGCACGTGTGCACGTGGTTTATAAAGGTTCCAATAATTACAATAAATTACTAATAATTATTAATAATTCATTGTTCTAATCCAAATACGGAATATAATCATTGTTTCTTTTTAAAAACACTTAAAACATAATGCATCAATCAAAGTTATAATATTTGTTATCTTGATAACAAAAAAAAAAATAAAAATAAAAATAATAATGATAATGATAATAATAATAATTATAAATATTTATAATAATTTAATTTTTTGACCAAATTTAGTTAAAATTAAAAAAATTATAGTTAAAAAGCAAATGATCTCGTACAACATCCTTTTTTCAGACGATTTACCCGTATTTTCCCATACACACTTACCTTGATCAGATTCTCTGCGCAGTTAAAAAATAATTTACATCAAATTTACCTGGTATCCAATCTGGTAATTTACACCATTTACTGGTTATGGGATTAAGTCCTATTCCCGTTATATCTATTACTTTACCCCATTTATCATCATTTTTTATATTTTCGATGATTTTTTGTAATTCATCAGGTCTTAAATATTTTTGGAAATCATGTGTTCCTTGTGGCACTATTTTAAAAGTATTTTCTGCTAATAATATAGTCAATATATATGATAATGGTGTACGAGAAATTGTTGAAAGGAATAAATATCCACCTCCAGGCTATTTTATTAAAGAAAATTTGTGTTTTAGAAAAGATCGATCATAAATAGTAATAAAAAAAAATAATAATAATATTTCACAAATTAAAAAAATCGACACATCATCCAATTACCTTCACTAATCCTGCACAAGCTTTAAGAAATTCTACTGGATTATTCACATGTTCAATAATTTCCATCGCACAAACAACATCGAATGTTTCTCCTTGTTTTAATAACTTTTCTATAAAAATAAAATTTCGTTAAAAAAAAAAATCAAATTATTTTTTTGTGGTAACAAATATATATATATATATATTAAAATAATACCAGCTGTAATACATTGATATTCTAAATTTCCATGTAAAATTGGATCTTTTTTCGCATGTAATTTAGCAATCTTAATATTTTCATCTGACGCGTCTACTCCAATAACCGAACCACCTAATCTCACTAATGCCTAATAAACAATAATTAAGCAAACTGATTTAATGAGATCGATTTATAGGAAATATTAAATTAAATAAGTCAAACCTCAGTTAGAACACCACCGCCACATCCTATATCTAACATTCTTAATCCACGAAATGGATGATGATGGTGATACGAAGATGATGACACCTCATCTCCGATCTTTTTGTTTTTTAATTGTTCACGAATGTATGATATTCTTAACGGGTTCATGGTATGAAGTAATTTTACGGGTCCATTTGGAGACCACCATTCATTAGCTATTTGACTAAATTTTGAAACTTCGGATTCATTAATTGTAGAATATTCTGGTGATGATTGTTCTGTACTTTATTTCGAATTTTAATATATTAATTAAACATGTACAAATAATATAATATAAATATTATAATGTATGTTTTAAAAAAAACAGACATAAAGTTTTAATTTACCGATAATACTTTCGAGTCAAAGCATGTATGCAAGCATATTTTGGCTTAAAAAGCTGCATAATATTCACATTTTTCGTTATTGTTCGTTTAAGAAACATATTTTATTAAAGGTTTTGAAATTACTAAAAAAATTATAAATTTTTTTTTTTTTTTGCTTGGCATTTTTCTAATCCGTCTTTTATATAGTAAAGAAAAAAAAATTTGATAATCTTCCAGAATTAGAAGGCAACATGTGAAATAAATTTTAAAGATGTACAAATTTTTATCATTCTGACTTTATATATTCAATATTCAATTTTTTTTTAAATTTCTCAATTTCTACAAAAAATTTTTTTTTTTAATGACGGACGATAACAAGTATGTCTAAAAGATTCTTTTTATGTGTTCCTAGAATTATTTTGACAATCAATCATACCTCGTTGGTCTTTCCTAAACCGATAATTTCTTATTTGAACGGCAATAAATTTGCTTCTACAATAAACCAACGAAGGTTTGTTGGTTATTCAAAAATAATTATAGATCAAAAAAGTTTTTTTTTTTTTTTAAGATTTTAAAAAAGTTTAATTTTAAGACATAATATTTTGACCAATATTATTTTTGTAGTCCCAAACCAAAAAAATCGAACGTTTATACTAGAACTGGGGATAAAGGTTTTTTTGTTTAAATTTTATGGTTAAATTTATGATTCAGATAAGAAATTCAATGAATTTTGATCAGTTTGGACTCCGGTTCGTTATTGGGAAATCGATAATTTTGGGCGCGTGAATATTCAAAGCTTTGTTAATTTCAAAACCCATTACTGGGATTGGGATTGAAGTTTGATATATGGGATTTTACTTGAAAAAATGGTAATACTTTAAGGGTTCAATATTTCAGTTTCCAAGTTTAATCAAACTTTTAGAGAAAAGAAAGAATATATCAACAAATTAAAACTAATGGTGTTGTGGTGTTGCCAGTGTTGTAGTGTTGACAGTGTTATGATGTTACACGTTAAGATAAAGCAATGCCATTATAATGAATCATTTTTATATTACACAGATTTTATTGATTCTTATCTGGATCATGAGCTAACATTAAATTATAGATTAATTTTGTTTTTTTTTTGGATAGGCAAATCAAGTCTTTTTAATGGAGAGCGAAGAAGTAAAGACGATGATGTTTTTAACGCGTTAGGAACTGTTGACGAGTTGAGTTCAAGTATTGGGTAAATATACAAGTAAAGAATTTTTCCATATACATTCATTCTTTTTTAACATTTTATTATTTATTCTCTTTATAGAGTAGCTAATCATTATTGTAAGAAAGCTGGAAATGGATTAGAAGATAAATTAGTTGAAGTAAGATGTAAGATTTTTATTATTTTAATTTATAAATAATTTCTTTATCTAAAATTACAACTTTTTTTTTTTTTTTTAATAAGATTCAATGTAAATTGATCGAAGTTGGATCCAATATTGCCACTCCAAGAAATTCTTCAAATACGTCAAAATTGTGTGAGTATAAGTGAGGGAAATGGAGTTTGGATTTTTTTTTTTTTTTTGATTCATAAGTGTATGATATGGTAATGATATGCGTAATTTTCTGTGATTTTCTAATGTAAAAATGCTAACCACATATTTTAATTTAGCGTTTACGTCATTCGATGAAGAAAATGTAAATATATTGGAATCTTGGATTGATAATTTGGATAATGTAACTATATAAGTTTTAATACGCGTAATTAGAAAATTATCTCGTAATCACTATTTACGTGTCTTTTTAATTAGCAACTACCTCCTTTAAAAAATTTCATTCTTCCTTCTGGAGGAGAAAGTGCCGTGTTTTTACATCAGTGTCGCTCGGTAAATTATTTCACAAATTCCTTATCGTTATAAATTATAAAGTTTTAATATTAAAGATTTTTTTTTAGGTATGTCGTAGAGCTGAGCGTGTAACTGTACCCTTGGTGGAAGCTGAAGTTACAGAACAAAGTGTTGGAAAATATTTAAACAGGTATGTAATATGATTTTAATTCGTAATTGTTTCACAGGAGCAATACATATTTATTTATTTCAAATCTTTAATAATAGATTAAGTGACTTTTTCTTTGTGGCTGCAAGATATGCTGCTATGTTTGAAAAACATATCGAGAATTATTATGAACAAAGAAGAGATGATAGAGAAAGTAATTTGGTGAAAAGAGAATTATCTAAAGAGTAATGAACAATATATATCGCTATGGTGTTGGAAGGTATACTGTATGTCGCTAAGGTAGGTATATATTGCTAAAGAAGGTATACTTTATATCGCTAAGGGAGGTAAGTATATTATCGCTAAGGATGGAAAAATAATTTTAAAAAATATATATAACTTTTCTAATTTTTCGGGATGTATATTTTATTTTTTTTTATTCAATATGGAAAATAAATATTGGGACATAATTTAATTCTGGAAAAATATTTTTTTGTTACAATTATGCTTCTTTATTAAATGAACGTAATAAATATTGAGGAAAAAAAAAAAACAAATAAATAAATATATTTTTTCAACTATACATAACTTACATGATGAATTTATTCTTCCATATTAAAACTAGGTTCTTCATGAGTATTTGATCCATTTACATAAATTTCATTATCTATTGCAATAAATTCTTCACGTTCAGAAATATTCATACTTATATTCATAGAAGAATCACCATTTGGAGAAGTAGGAGGTAATATTTCTGTTGAAGCTAAAAATTCTGGTTCTTCTGGAGCTGATGATGAAGTTAAAATTGGAGTAGAAACATCATTCGGATAATGATAATCAGATTCTTCACCTTCCTCAGCTTCATCATCACCTTCCTCATCTAATTCTTCAAGATCTTCATCAAGATCCTCTTCTTCTTCATCATCATCTTCATCATCATCATCATCGACTTCATCATATTCAGAATCATCATCATCTTCCGGAATTAATGGTAGATCGTCATCCTTTAAAAATAAAAGTGAATTTTTTCAATTCTTTGTTGATAAATTTTGTATATATAATATTCTCATATAACATACCAAATATTCATTTGGCCTCATTTTATATACTCCAATGATAGGAGCTCTTCTATTTTTTAACTTTATCGCATGTAACTTTTTAAAATAATAATAAAAAAAAAAAAAGGAATAAACTTCTGATATTTGGCGCGTTCTAAATTAGAAAGTTCACCAAGTACCTGAGCTTCATAATCTTCTTCTTCTTTATCTAAAGCAACAGCCTCATTTATCATGACCTCTCTAGAGGAATTTATAACAGTTCTTGGTTCAAGAGAAGGAGTCCAAAGGTAAGGTGAAGCCATTTTATATGAAAAATGAAAGAAAAGTGAAAGACAAGTGTAATTTCAAAACAATGAAAGAGACACAAAGGTGACACTTATGAAATCACGTAAATGAATTGTATAAATGGTAAACACGTGATAATTACGAAAATGAAAATCATATACGGTAACAGTATGTTGATTTATTAATTAATAAAAAAAGTAACTAGAACACGAGATTTACATTAAAAAAAAAAAAATAACAGATAAATTAAAATTGTTGTAACACCCAAGTGACCTAACACCTATCAAAAATTTAATCGGAAGTTTTATATAATGAAATAAATTGTTGTAAGTTATTAGAGAAATTATTTTCATTTTCAACAAATTTTTTTCTACGTTGTTTAAATTTTTCTTGTTGTTGACGTTTTCTTAACTGATATTGTAAAGAATAATCTAAAGTTGACATTTGTGTAGAGAATATTTCTTCTCTTGTTGAAGAATTTTGTTGAATTTGTTGAATTTGTTGAATTTGTTGGATTTGTTGATTTTGTTCGAATTTTCGATCGATTCTTTTTTCAAAAAAACTTGAGATTTGAAAATTTTCATGTTCTAATTGTTGTTTTTTATAATATTCACAAAATTTACAATCACACTGTCTATTAGAATCTAATAAATTATCTCTATAAAACATTTATTATAATATTTTATTTTATTATGATAGTTTGTGGGATTTATTAGATTTATTATGATAGTTTGTGGGATTTATTAAATTTATTGTGATAGTTTGTGGGATTTATTAGATTTATTAGATTTATTAGTGAGTTCACTGAGTTGTTAGTGATGTAATATTTTTTAAAAATATTATTTTATTATTGTGATATTTGTATAATTTATTTGGCAAACAATAAAGATGAATTTTAATAATTTTGCAAAAAAAAAAAAAATATCAGGCTCTTTTATATTTCTCAGATAAGGGTTCTAATGTAAGGGTTTTTTAATGATCGGGTTATATATAATATGCAGGATATACCTTAATACCTTTAAACTTTTATAATAAAATTGTTAACAATATTTTCATTTTTTTTATTATAATGTCTACGATAAATTACTTGCATTAAGCTTTAATTGAACATTGTTTTATATAATAATGTTGTGTTTCGTCATGATATATCATTTATCAATAAGAGATAATTTTCATTGATCTCTTTATTTAGTAGATGTGAAACCAATGCTTAAAAAAGTTTAAAAGATTTGATCAGTGAAAAGAAATAAAAAAAAAGTTCCTTTATTTGGATACTGATAAGTTTTAATACGTGTTATATACAGTTATGTAATATGTGTAATATGTATAATATGTAAAATGCAATAACTCAATTAGGGTATAATTAATAATATTTGATGTATATTCATGTAATAACATATGTAACTTTTAAACATAACAACAAACTTTAATATTTAATCTCATGATTCTTTATGAATGCAACTTAATTATGTATTATGTATTATGTATTATGTATTATTTATTGTATTACACATTATTTAACGCGTTCTTTTCCTATGAGTATCATACTTAATTTATAGGTGACAAATATATTGCATATCAAATAAATTAAAAAAATTTGATGACGTTATTCATCACCCGTTTTTGAAATCCCGATTATATATATTAATAATGCAGTTATACTTTAAAAAAAAAAGGTGATAAACTATTTATTACAGATTATATTATATGAAAAAATGATTTTTTTTTTGTTAACCTTTTTTGAAACATTCTTAAAGGCGTTAAAGCCGCGGGATTAATTAAATAGTTACATACGAGTTTTATCTTATTTAATTAAAATGAGTTTAATTAAAAAAAAAATCTTGATATTCAACTTATTTTATATTATTACACGTGATCTGCATTTTTTTTTTCTTTTTTTTTACTAGTTCATGGTTTCATTTTTTTGATTCAAAAGGATATTAGGATTCATTCAAAAAAGTTCAAATGTATTCAATGTAAAATGTAATCATCATAATTATTAATAATTATTTCGAAAAACCGGAAAGTTTCTTACATTAGTTAAAATAATATGTTGTGAACACATATTAAATGAAAAAATTTTTTTCTTAAATTAGAAATCATTTTTTTACATTACATTCTTTTTTTTAAAATATATATATATTTATATTCTTCCTTCTTTTGTCCAATTGTTCCCAATTGTGAAAAAAAAAAGTTTTTTTAAAAAAAAAACCGTTCAGTTAAACTTTTCCGTTTAGATTCATAATATATGCATTTATTATTATTATTTTTTTTTTTTACAGCATTGTTTTATTTATTATGGTATTAATCAACAATTTAAATTTTTTTAGGAATCTATTATTTTTTTGGGAACCAATAAATTCTTTTTTAGATTTATTCTTTATCAATAATAAATAATAATAACAGATAGATAATATTAAAATAATATTTTTTATTTTTTTTGCTGCGTAATCCCTGCTTCGAGGGAAAAAAAACAATTATGTAATTGTGTTTGCATGACAGAAAATATAAGGTTACACCTGTCTCTTATACACATCTAGATGTGTATAAGAGACAGACATTCTTTTTTTTAAAATATATATATATTTATATTCTTCCTTCTTTTGTCCAATTGTTCCCAATTGTGAAAAAAAAAAGTTTTTTTAAAAAAAAAACCGTTCAGTTAAACTTTTCCGTTTAGATTCATAATATATGCATTTATTATTATTATTTTTTTTTTTTACAGCATTGTTTTATTTATTATGGTATTAATCAACAATTTAAATTTTTTTAGGAATCTATTATTTTTTTGGGAACCAATAAATTCTTTTTTAGATTTATTCTTTATCAATAATAAATAATAATAACAGATAGATAATATTAAAATAATATTTTTTATTTTTTTTGCTATTAATCAACAATTTAAATTTTTTTAGGAATCTATTATTTTTTTGGGAACCAATAAATTCTTTTTTAGATTTATTCTTTATCAATAATAAATAATAATAACAGATAGATAATATTAAAATAATATTTTTTATTTTTTTTGATCTTAAAATTATTATTAAATTTCATTACTAATATAGAGGGTATTATTTATTTATTTTTTTAGGTATTAATAACGGACAATTAAATTTACCACAACAATATTCTCAAAATACAAATGATGTTCGCTTTAGTTATAATGGTTCTCAAGGACATTTACAACAAAATTTAACTGGAAATGTTGGGAATGTTGGGAATATGCAACAACATGTACCTAATAATATACAGCAAGTATCAGCGAATTTAGGGAATTTAGGGAATTTACAACATCATCTTACTAATAATAATATGCAAAATGTACAAGTTAATGGTACGAATATTCCAACTATGGGTCAACCTACAAATATGAATAACTTACTTTTTGATCCGGCATTAAGGCCTTTACTTCAGAAATTTATAGAATCTGCTTTTTTACAACAGCTTTCTCATCAACAACAACAACAACAACAGCAGCAGCAGCAACAACAACAACAACAGCAGCAACAACAGCAACAACAGCAGCAACATCATCAACAACAGCAAGCGCAGGCGCAGGCGCAGGTGCAGCATATTAATAACACAAACATTTATGGTTTACAATCGTCGAATCAACAAACTCAGTCATTACTAAATACGGATTATTTGCAGAGACTACAACCAACTCAATATCTCGTACAACAGTTACAACAGTTATTAAATTCGAGCACCAATAATGCAAATGTCAATAATTCTAATGTCAACATGGCTAATGTGAACAATAATAATAACGTTAACAACGCTACTAATGTCAATTTTCCTAACGTTAACGTTAACAATTCTAATGCCCATAATCCTAATATTAACACTTCTAATATCAACATTGTTAATAATTCCAATGCTAATGTTAGTAACATTAAATCACAAGCAGCTTCAACATTAGTATCGCACATGTCTTTAACATCACCAAAGCCACCACAACCATTACAACTATCTCAACCATCTCAGTCATCACAACCTCAAACACCACGACTGCAACCACTACAACTGCAACCTCCACAATCTCAAACATCACAAGTGCAACCATCACAAGTACAACCATCACAAATGCAACCATCACAACTGCAACCTCCACAACTACATCCTTCACAATTACAACCTTCACAACTGCAACCACTACAACTGCAACCTCCACAATTGCAATCTTCACAATTACAACCTTCACAATTGCAACCTCCACAACCGCAACTACCACAACCACCACATCCATCGCAATCACAACTATCACAGCTACCACATCTTTCACATCCACCACAACCACCACAACCACCACAACCACAACTTCCACCACAACAACAATTACCACCACAGCCACAACAATCACAACCGTTCGTGCCACAAACTGTTCCAACTGTTCCAACCTGGAATCATAATCAAGTACATGTGCAAGAATCACAACAGGCGGATCAAAAATCCATTGAAGAGAACGAGGTGAATATTTCAAGTTCAGTTGTACCAACTACAACAGCAATTACATCGATAAAGAAAGAAGAAGGATCCGATAGTCATGTGGTTGTAGAACGACAAAAAACACCTCATCAAGAAGAAAAGACCCATCAAGAGGAAAAAACAACAGAACAGCAGACACGAAATCCTGGGGAAACGAACGTTGAGATATTAACTAAGCTAAAAGTGTTAAAGGACAAGATTGAAAAGGGTTTACACCCTACGATTAAGCCGAAATTTTATAATCATCAAATTTCTGATGAAGAGAGGCATCAAATACAAAAAGGAGCGGAGAGGGACTCGAGACAAAATAACAATAGATATAAAGAGAACGGTCGCCAGAATCATTTCTCAAGAGGAACGCGAGGGAGGAGTCCAGGTATTGACCATCGTTCTCCAACGATTTACAGATCAAGATGGAGCCGATCTCCGTATAGATATGATAAAGAAGGTATTATCTCGGATTATAGGAGATATCAACGAAACCGAAGTAGATCTACTAGCTTAAGACGAGATGTTCGTGGGCCTAACGACTATTCTGCAAGATCCGTCTCACCCAGATTCCGTATGACCGATTACGATGAAAGATATTATTTCCGAAATTCTGGACAAGATTTTCGTGACAAATATATGCCGCGTGGTATGTCAATGTCAATGTACGAAGAATCAAGACATGGCGGACATGGCGAAAGGTATGAAGATCGCTCGAGATCTTTTGGGCGATCAAGGTCTCCAATAGGATATCCAGGATGTCGTAGACAAAACGGTTGGTACGGAGGAGAACAGTACGAAAGAGAGAGACCCGGCTATGAATACGAGTTCTCTGCACGTCGAAGACCAACTGGTCGTTGGTAAATCGACTCGTTTTGACTATTTTTAATAAGTGATTATGATTATGAACGATAAAAAGATCCTTTTACGGTTATTGACGAAATTTATACCCATATTAAGATTAAATAGCCTTTCAGTTTGGGTACGATTATGAGAATTTTCATAGTGTATATAAAATAAAAAAATTAGGTAGTGTAAGAACACTTAAGTGGTGGAGAAAAATATTTAATATAAAAATTTTAATTTCTTTACGTTTAGATAAATGAAAAATAAAAGTAAGAAATATATGGACAATAATATGTTAGATTGTCCGTTAATTTGTATATAATAAAATTAAATAAAGTTTTAATAAAGATTTCCCAAACGGAAAAAATATTTTAACTTATTGATGACAATCTCGGGATTTGTGTTAAGCAAATTTATGTTTGCATTTCATTCACATTGTTATAATTTTCATGAAAAAATACGTAAGAAAGAAACAGAGAGATTTTTTCCTAATTAATCTATCACATTCGTACTAAATCAAATAATTACAATGATTTGAATGATTTGTAAATGATGATCGATTGCTTCTCGAAGCGATCAATCAATACACATTTATATAACATTTTCAGTGACATTTCGTATTCATAATGAAAAATTCAATTTATTTGATTTTTTCAGTCTTGATGTGATTAATGTGCTAAACACCAATCAACGATTTTTATTCATTTTAATAACCAACAAAGACCCTTCCCAGTTATATTGGACGTGATCACACTGATCACTGATCAATACAAAAATGAAAGGAAAGCATTACAATAGCATTTTCAGTGACATTTCGTATTCATAATGACAAATTCAATTTATTTGATTTTTTCAGTCTTGATGTGAATAATGTGCTAAAACGCCAATCAAAGATTTTTTATTCATTTTAATAACCAACAAAGACCCTTCCCCACCTGCCATTGAAGTGCGTGATAAAGTCGTACACTTATCGCGTAGATGTTGATAATATCAACACCATAAATTCACAGACTATGAATCAATTACGTCTTTTCTAGCCATAATCTGCTTCGAATGATTGCTCTTTGATCATCGTAAAGAGACAGGGGATTAGAGGTTATTCGGAGATATCACACACCATACACAAGGACTTTTGAAAAAAGAAATTAGACTTGGTGGAGGAATTTACTAACCAATTAGGGATTACGTAATTAATTAGTTCTCGTAAAATCACAATTAAGGTGTGATATTTCTGATAACGAGAACAATATTACTAAAATTAAGCAAGAATATCAAATAAAAGAGTTAATACTTAATACAATAAAATTTCCATCATGGTTCATTGATTCAGTGTTTTTTTTTTTCTTTTTCCCTTTTTTTTTAAATAATAAACTCGTACTACTGTACACATAAGTCCCGTATATACTGCAATTGCGAATATGGGAGTGGCTGGTCTATTTTGACGAGTTCGACAATTGTAATTTTCAGCAATTTTTGTTCAAGAGTTCCTATCAATGCAGATGTAAAATTATCAATACAAATTTAAATTGAAATATGTCATAGATTAGTAGTTACCTAATGCCGAATATTTGATTCTAATAAAGGGGTAGTAATTTTATTTTTTAACTACTATAGTCTTGTACCAAATCTTCTGAAGATATGGTAATTTAAATAAAATCAAGCTTTTTGTTATGTGCATAATTTAGAAGCTTCAAAGCGTTTAGGTTCAATATATGGAATTCTTCCAAAACACAATTAACGAAATTTTAAAAATCTAAAAATCTGTAGTTTTTGATTCAACGTGATAATTTTCGAATGCTGCAAAACGGTGTAACAAATTCAAAGTTAAACAAGATACTGTGGAAATACCCAAATATCCATCAAAATATAAACTAAAAAGAAATTACAAGTTAACGGTGAACAATATCCATTGTAAGAGACGAAGACCATCATCAGCTTGAGCACGCGAGTTGCCATATCTGATCAGCAGAAAAAAGATCACGTGCGCGTTCCGATTCAAGAAAAAAAAATTTCGAACCGTGAGCTAGTGCACATAATAACAGATAACGTCCGTGCAATAAAGTAAATGCTAGTGAATGCACGAAATCGCCATATCTCATATAAAATGCTAATCGATCTAATTGTGCTAATTATTGGTTCAGGACAGTTCAGGTAAACATATCAAGTTATCAGCTGATCTTTAGAATTAACAAATAAATCCATTTAAAAAAATTTATAACTGGCACGCGGCGACACAGTCGCCGCAAATCAGAATCCTTCTAGTCTAATACTTAGTTTGGCTAAAATTCATTTTCAGAAAGAAATTCTAACATTTGCATTGTACGACGTAAATTTAACAAACCTAGCAATTAAATGGAAAAATTAAGTAATAAATATTGATACAACATAAATTTTTCATAAAATAGCAAATATAGTTACTTTATCCATAAGTTCTTTAGAAATCTTAGATTGTGGTAAAAAATGCTTCCGACCAAGGCGGGTCTACGGAAAAAAGAATACTGGGTGTTACACTGGATACCGTAGTCGATCGACCTCTGAACGAATCAGAAATTGAAGACGTAACAGATATAATGTTTTGCGATTTTTCCATGTTTATTTATTTATTTTATTTAATAAAGAGGAGTGATCAGAGATCTATACATTGATAGGTATTTAAATACAAAGAAATAAAGAAGAACTATTCTAGTATAAGATACTCGGATACCAATCCCAATCCTGTAAGAAATAAAATCCACCAAGGACAGGACCTCACCCTTCGATTTAAACTACTGAAACGGTAGAACTATGCTACAGTTAAAGGACATGACTAAATAAAAAAGACCGTCCTTCCATAAGAGCTATCTAAAAGAAAAGAAAAAAAAAATAAAAAAATAAAAATAAAAATAAAATTACTGTAACGTAGAAAAAAACCAAACAATCATAAATGATCTGTATTTTTCTTTCAGCAAATAAACGGGCCACCACCTGTAAATACTGTAAGAGGTGGAATGGTTCACACTATTCAAAATTGTTTGTTATCATTGTATGGAAAAATTAAATATGATGTAGAAAATTATCTACTGGAGTAAAAAAATAATACAATGGCTTTGCGAAATGACTAATTAGGGGGTGAAATGTCCAAAGAGTCCAATGCTCGAGGAGTCATTTGTGTTACTTGGCGAGGGACGTAATTTTTTGATGGCTGTGTAGTGAAGTGTAAATTCAAATTTGTGTTGATCATAGTGTTTCTTTTTCTCTGTCTCATTCTATCTGTCGAGTGTCGTCTGAAGTATCAGAATGATTAGTTTCATCATTTTCGTTAATTGAATATTGTTGTCGAGCGTAATCAAGATAATTTATCGTAAAATCAGCTATTTCTTGTAAAACTTGATCTTTAGATTTTTTATGTCGAGATTTCTTTTTTACCACTATTAACATTGGTAATTTTGGTTAACGCTGAGTGGAAATTATCCATATATTGTTGTAATAATTTTACTTGTCGTTGTCTTTTTGATAAGTGTTTACACTTGTCCCTTGAAGACTAGCTGTTTCAATAGAAGCATCACGCTTTGATTTAGCTTTTTCTTCTGCTTTAAGTTTTTTCAGAGCCATTCGTTCTTGATCTTGTTTAATCTTCTCTTCACCTTTGATTTTCTTATGAAGTTTGCGATCACGGAGGTAGATTGTACGTTTGATATGTCCAAACCATTTGCGTAAGCCTGGAGCATAAAAGTCGTTGATAACTTGATCTGATTGTATATATGCGTCAGTAATCTCAAGTTTAAACAAAGGGGTTTTCGGTAAGTAGGAAAGGAATTCTGGACGAATATAATCATCTGATAAAGGCATTGGATTATAATTAGCAGTGATCTCATCCGTATTTTTTGACAAGAATCTAAGGTGGCCGATACATTTTTTATTTTAGCTGATATAGGTATGTGATCCAATGAAGTCGATTGTTCTATGATGGACTTTTCCAATTTGTTTATCATACGAGGTTTAAAGAAGAACAAGGGGACTAAGAACTTGTAATCCTTTGGATTAGGAATACGGTCCTTATTACCATATTTCAAATGATGTATAAGTTTATTAATATATTGAGATTTCGTAAAAAGAAATCTCTGTCGTCTAGCAGCAATTAACTTATCCTCTGCACTAAGCGCAGCATTGGATTTCTCATGATTAAAAACTCTTTTGCAAGCTCTTTCAAAGCATTTTTGTTGTTTTTTTCTTGTACGACTATTATTGCTAGGGTGAATTTTAAGTCTGAGAAGCATTTTTTATACATGTATCCAAAGTTTCCTTTGATAAATGATAATTTTCCATAAGCGTGGTATTGTATCTTATATTCTAGGCCTAAGCGACGTGAATAAACACGTTTATTAATGTGTTTACGCTATCTATTAAAAAGAGAATTGGCGTGATTGACTTTATTATTATAAGCGTTGTGTTTGATCAATGTTTGATTAGGGTCGAGGTGTTTAACAAAATTATAAATTTTGTATTTAAAGAAATAGAGTTCATAAGAGACGCAAGCGCATCTACAGTTTGATATAATAAAAGGGGATGGAATGTCACAATGTTCTGCCTTTTTAATAAACTAGTCAGAATAAACATGGTATATAAATACCAAAATAAAATCTATATTTTTTATAACTAAAATGAAAGAAGGTTTTTGATGTCAATTTTTTTATCTTTATTGTTAGCATGTGATCTTATCATTTCATCATGGGCCAATAATTTGTCCCGTCACACTGAATTTAGAATAACTCGTTATGCCATAAAAAAGTGCGTGAGCATGATAATCATTGGTGTATATCCGTAAATTGATTTGATTAGTGTTTTCAAGTAGATCATCAAACTGAAAAAAGTAACTTCTGATTTCATAAATCCTGTTCGATTTGGTTTGGTCACGTGGAACTTCTGTCTCTTATACACATCTAGATGTGTATAAGAGACAGGATATATGGACAGATAGAAAAGGGAAAAAATTATAACTCTAACCAGGGGATGTCAAAATACTAAAAAAAAAAAAATGTATGTTTATTATATAAAAAGCTATCGTATTAAACTCCTGTCACAACTATAAGTGGGCGTATAATTCTTTTAAAAACAAAAGTTTTCACCATACGTATATACTGTGAAGTATGGAATGATAGATATTTACGAGTTGTGTAAGTTGGGTTATCTTTCTGTAACGTATTAGAAAATATTAAAAGTTTATTTTTGCGGAAAAAAATTTTCTATTGCGCCATTTTAACGGTTATAAAAATTTGAGGAAAGAGTTTTTTTTTTGCGATTTTCTCATGTAGACTTAAAGATTACCTGAAAAATATGGGCGCAATTCGTCACGTGACGATCAAAAAGCAACATAAATATAAATCAGTGCGGGAGAAGATATTGTTGATTTACCAATGAATACATCAGATAATGTGATTTATAGTCACTTGTTCCAGTCTATTAACAATTTTTATGACATCCAGATCAAAGCGCAATTAAATATTCTAGGCGCTTTATTCAATACTTCAACCTTGCAATACAAAAAATTCACAACGTCATACAAGAAATTTGGTATCTTACGATCTCTAACGATATCAGCAAATATATCTCAAATTATCTGAAACTAACGTATTTATCCAAATCTTTGGATATGATTGGTAAATACGGATTCTCTATTGACTTCACTTTCAATAACAACATAATAGAAGGCAATACACCCATATGTGATTACATAACTGGCCTATCAATAAACGACATTCGATCCCTCAAAAATAAGAATATCATCTATATGGACCAGTTGACTTCTCCAGATGGCTGCTATCTATTGTCATAGAAAGATGTTCAATGTAATAATAACAAGAATTTCAAAGGAAATGGTATACACACTTAATAGATAATTACGTGTTAAATGATAATTTACGTTTAACGCACCCATTAAGGGACGTCATCAGTAACATTAATAGAACACATAAATCACTACAAATTGTACCATCAATCACACAACCTAGACTACAATAGTCTATACATTGGAACAACTAACAAAAGAATATTATTTTTGGAAAAACTTTATCGCAAGATACAACACAATTTTCTTCTATTACTTATTTAGAACATTATATAGACAACCAAACACATTATGATGCCCAGTTAACTCCCAAATGGCAATTACTTTGTTTGACAGCTTGCAGAGGGTATACGATGAATTCATATTATCCTCAGTTGCAAATTTTATTAGAATTAATAAAGTATTTTTATTTCGCCATTTTTTTTTATTTTGTACATATTATATATAAAGTGCATTAGCCCAAATTTTTATGTCAATATTTTTTTTCACAGAAGAGAGTGTGCATATTGTATGAATACTAAAAAAATATCACAGCATTTGAAAAAATATATGCAATGTTTGTTTCACCCTATACATTGTAAAAATTCTATTACTAATCTACATAGCACGAAATATTGCTTGCTGGATAGGAAAGAAATCAATAACCACATTGTTGATTGGGTATGGTGGGACTTGAGGATAGCCACGGAAAATACAACCTGGAAAAATATTCATAATACACATTCCTGCGGCGGTACATCCATTATACGGTTGATTATTCCTATCAATAGTTCCGAATTCAATCTAAAAAAAAGTAAATGCATAAATGATATTGAAAAAGAAAGCAAATGCCAAGAATACTAATTCTTACAATTTGGACTGGTTGGTAATTTCCGTGTACATTTTGTAATTTGTACGCCTGTTGTACGACAGAATTTATAGCACTGCCAAAATACAGGACAATTATTAGACAAATGAAATAAATGAAATGACAACAAAAAAAGCAATACTGAACTGTGAAACGGCGCAAAGGAGTTCCGTTTTGATCTCTTCCTAAAGTCCATTTTCATAATTTTAGTACAAACACGTCCTCTACACGGTTCGGAGCCAACCAGAATTGAGTAGTCATGTGTATTATTCTCGAAAGACTTTCTGAATTAGCCACCTCAGCGATAATAGTAGGCCAAGGGTTACCCTATAAACCATAAACCATTATAGATTCAGATTGGTCTTTGTATTTTCAATAAAATAATTCAATAAACAATACCTGAAGATCGCAAGGGTTTCGGGCTGGCCTAGGAAGAAGTGTTGGCATAAATGAATCATCCGGCTGTTTACTAGAACCTCTTGTTATACGTCCTGGAGTAGCATGACAAGCTGGATACAAAATACAAAATGATAGGTTTAATATAATATTACATTCACAAACAAACACTAAAGTACATACTTGCTGATCTGCAAGAATCAACTGTGCTTTGAGGATCCTGATGTTCAAATTGTCTAGAGAATGCACTATGTGCATATTCATGATCACGATTTGGCAACTCGAATATGACTACAATTCCGTCTCGAAACTCCCAGTACTTTGATGCGTTCGTGATCTCACATTTTTTTTCGAACTCTTCATAACTTACACCTTCAATAAGGATCAGTGGGAGTCTAATAAAATGAAACAAATTTTAGCATGAACATTGAGAATCGAATTTATGTAGTGTTATGACTATGACTTTACCTATCTTTGTCAATAATTTTATAATTTCCGTCGATCCACCATTTTTTCTCTCTCTCATCTGCTTTGTTAGTGATGACTTCTTCCGCATTAGCATCGATAACTTTAATACACTCCTGAACGCCAACTCATCTGCAGTTAGATCAGATAAGGAATCTACTGAACTTCGGCGAGAACTTAGAGGAAGTAATTAAGGAGTTGGTTAGAACAGAGGCTAAGGAACTTCGACGAGAATGTGCACAAGTCTCGTATACCGTTGTAGACATTTTCAGAAAGTTAAGGGATATAAACACTCGTATCTATTAAAGTTTAAAAAAAATTGAGAAAGTTTGAAGGTATATACACTTTATATACCTTTCTAAATACATCGTGACAAACTTTTTGTGGTTTGTAGTGACGTAATACAGCAAATAATATAGATACTTAATATGGTTTTATCATTACTCATTAGATTTTTAATTCTCTGACGAATTCTCAGGGTATTTATTAAAAAGGTGAATTAATGTTACGTAATTTTTAGGTCATTCTCATACGAGTAGTACGATTGACCGTATTTGGCTAATCAGAGTGGCTTTTTTTATTGATAAAGCGCAGTCACAACTTTAAAATCCATTTTTTTTGGTATTCAAATGAAATGATATTCCCTTGGTTGTGGGTATTAAACGAAACACTGAGGCCACCTTCGGCCTCTTCTCCCCCAACGTTATATATAGATAACTAAAAAAAAAATAAAACTGAACTGTGGTAAAATGAGTGTTTACTGCGGAAAACTAACAAAAATAAAAAAAGGGGAGAGTATTTTTTTCACGTTTATCCAATATTATTTTTAAGGATTAATATTTACGATATAAAGGATTTACTTAAGCTGATTAATAAAAATTTTTGAATGTTTTGCATAACATAGTAAATTGTAATTTTATGCATTCAAATTTCACGTCTAAGGAGCTAAATGAGGTAACATAAATAATATCTTTTAATAAATCATAGATAACCTTTTTTTGTTCTAGCTTAAGATATTTTATAATTATTATACACAATGGAAAACATGGACTGAGTTAAATGTAGGAATAATAAGATATCTTACCTAGAAATTTGGCAGTCTTATAATCATATTAGTTATTATTTTGTTATTGTATATGTTCTATGTATAAAGCACTGGACATTTTCTCGTTATTGAGTTATTGATCACTTTATAATAGTGATACACAAATTTTGGTCACTTTATAATTAGTGATATTCACTTTATTATAAAATAATCAATAAGATACACGAAAAAGGTCTCAGTTGCTTACGTCATACATATCCAATAACTTTATTTACACTAGAATCTATGATTATTATGCGCTATTATAGTCTTAGTGGTCTGATACATTATATAAGTAATGAGTTAAATGGGAGAATAAGTTGGATGATTTAAAAAAAAATCACAATTGGACTTACTAATATCCATAGTATAGATACAGAGGCTACAGTATTTTACCAGATTTTTTAAATTACTTAGTAATTTATGGTAAAATAGCATTTTTTAAGATATATAAGTTTGTCAAAATTTAATATATTGTAGTCAATTTTTTTAATTTAAAAACTAATCAACTATAGCTTTTAAAAATATAATTAAAGATATATTTTATATTGAAATACCAAAAGTTATTTAAATATAATTAATACCTACTATGTTTTCCTGTGTGACAGTAACGTTTAGATTACTGTGTACCCGTAACGTTTAGACCCCGAAAGACTCGCGTATAACAAATAACCGTCGTACCGATCACGTGTATGTTTATCATATAATTATAAAAAGTTGTTATGCTTTACATTCAGAAATATTTTTTTATATTTTAAAACTATTTAACTATTTATTTTTGATATTTAAAAACTATTATACAGTATTTAGCTATCAAATAGAAAAATTTCGAATGAAATTTGTTAGAAACTTAGACTTTTTATGCAATTTGAAGATCATAAAGTCCGGTAAATTACTGTAGCCTGTAGGCCTCTGTATTATTCAAGAGATTTACATTTTGAAAAACTAATTATTCAGGTGCTATTTATAAAAGTAAACCTTTAAGTAGTATGATAATTCTGCAATGTCTTTAAGGAGATTAAGAAGTCAATCTACGAAAGTACAAAAATTCTTGTATTACAATTGATCAACTAATTTATTTACATATTGTATTACACGGTGATTATTTGTCATACATCTACTCCGATATTTCTAAGCCACTGATGATATTTTTCTTAGTTTTTTTGGTTCAAAAAAAATTTAACAAAAGTTAACCTTTATTTCAAAGAATATGAGTGAAAGTCAACAAAGAGAGGTATGTTACTTGAGGTGTGTCATTAAATCGGGAAAACTTGAGATTGAATGGTCTATTATCACACCATTCACCTGATACTGGATTGGGCTCTTTGAAAACAAAAACACAGAAAATAGGAATTGGCTCAATGGTCATTAGTTTTATGTTGGAAATCATAGTAATCACACAACTCTACTCGATGGATGATATGCTTATAATGGTAGCCATTAGATCGGAACAGTTTCTGGGTAAAATCAAATACATATGAATCATATGAAGTATTTAAATAAAACTCATACACAAATGTACTTAATCCTGATTTCACAAATTTTAATAAGACTCATGTACACTATCATATCATTACAACATTTATTTAAAAGACATAAGATCGATTGGGGATTCAATACAGATGACAACTAGAACAGATTGCAGAGAGGAGACTCTTCGAAGGTTTGTTGAAAGAAATACGAACAATGTTAATGTTTACATTAGAACTTATAAAGTTCAAAATGCATATCTCATAGTTGATCCTGAATCATATCAATGTCTCATAATTTACCATGGTGGAGAAAAGGATTATTTCTTATGGTCTGGATGGAAGTTGAGCAACTGTCAACATCAGCATGTAACACACCACCATGTAAATTAAAAGCAACCATACTTATTGTATTTGAAGGTGAAGGAAATGACTTAATTGACTTAATTAACCTATTTTTTGAATATGTATAAATATAGTGAGAATACTTATGATGGGAAAGTGTATGATGAACTTATAGTTTTAGCTGAAAGTTGCATTTCATCATCATTTGAAGGGAGGGATAAAATAACCCCAGATGATGATTATAAGATTAGAAAGAAGGCAGGGTGTCTTTATTAATTAAATTGATGCAGATGATCAGGAATAATTTTATGGAAATAAATTATATGAACCTGTTTGCGAAATTTGCCGAGAAAAAATCGTCTCTGTGTCTCTATGCTAAAAGGGAGGTGAACATAAAAAAATCACACTTTAAGTGATGAATTTTAAAAAAATTTATCTTATTACAATTTAATTCTTATTTCTAGTCATGTAATGCTTGCTTTACAGTTATAATATACTTATTATAGCATGAAATTAAATTTTATGTGTAATGAATACAGCTAAGTAAAAGAAAGTAATAGAATGAGAGAAATCTGTCCCGTTTAATGGCCTGTTACTCCTCCATATTGTAATGTTCCAATCATATCAATCATTCATCCATTTGAAATTTAGATATCTGTCATCTGTCAGTTAAATCAGATAGATCGGGTTAACAGAAGTCATCATCCATCAGATCTGAAACTCCTTTTGTCCTAAGAAATTTTTTTTGATTGTATACAAAGTATAGGATTTTCTCTTTTTAAAGTACAACCGTTAAAGACTAGTACCTCTTGAGCGAGACAAATGGAAAGGTGAAGGTTTGTCTGGTCTCTTCTCAGGAATGTTATTAGTGTTCATTTTTTTTAGGAACTGAAATGTGAGAATGGCTTTTGGGGATTGAATCTGCATTTTTTAAAAGAACATTATTGTTTTTTTTTTCTTTTAGAATAGCCACCTTGAAACTTTTTGAGGAAATGAAAAGAGTCTGAACTCTTTCATTAGGATGCTATTTACTTCTTTTTTTCTTATTTTTAAGAGAAATCACTTTGAAGACTATTAGGATTTACAAGAACAATACTTTTTTTAAAAAATAACTGCTACTAGAATGGCTTCTTGGGGTAAATGGAAAGGAGTTTGGGTCTTTTACGAGAAGTTGTGAACATTTACTAAATGTCATTCTTTCTGTTGAACTGTGATTCAAACTTAGAAGGTAAATTTTAGATAGGAGATGATATTTTTTTATTTTAAAAACCATTTGCTAATATTCTGTTTATTTTGTTTTTTGTAGGATGGGCTATTTGACTCTTGGAGGTGGTTCTTAGATGGAAAGTGAATTTGGCAAGGAGTTCTTATTCCTTTTAGTTAGGGATTGGAATCGATTATCATTATTAGAATCAATTTTAAAATCGATTAATCACGATTAATCGTTTCGCAAAATTTTGATTCTATAATTTGATTTTCGATTTTTGATAATCGGATTTATACTTCAAAAACAATACTATTTTATGGCGCTAGCATCTTGTTAAACGTTTTAATGAACTTTTTATTTTCTATAATTTGTAATTATAGAATTTTTTTATACTTAAAATAATGTATTTTTTATATTTTAAATTTAAAATAATGAATTTTAAAACTTATTTTTCGGTGTAACAGATAAATTTGATGATGATCATTTAATAAACTACTTTTATTATCAATACTGCTATAGGTGTCGTTGAAATTAATTACGGATTTTACCACGATTACGGCACGTGCCGCATTGCCAACCGTAAAAACCGTAAAATTTTATTACAGCAAAATTCAAAATATACGGGACACTTGAGAATTTTGATTGTTGGGTTGTCGGGTAGCCGGGTTACTCGGCAGTAGGTTATTATATAATCTGATATACTACTATTACACTCATGTCACGTGTTATTTATAAAATAACCTATTGCCGACTAACCCGGCTACCCGACAACCCGACAATCAAAATTCTCAAGTGTCCCATATATTTTGAATTTTGCTGTAAGGCATTAAGTTCGGCCAGAGTTAAATGATCTTCGCGATAATGTCCTTTTTTGGAATATGGTGTAACCATTGTGTAACTCGATTCTCCATTTTTGATGGGAAGCAAAATTCCTTTTTTGGAATTTTGTGTAACGTCACGTGATATAACAACAAAAATTCGGCCGGCATTACCGGCATTACCGGCATTATAAACCTATTTACGGCATTACGGATAATTTACGGATTTCGCCGAATTAATTACGGTATAGCCGAAATGCCAAAATTCATGAATTTCGACGACAAGTATAAATTTCGATTTTTGTTCGATAATCGATTTAAAATCGATTCTTATCGATTTTCGATAAATTCGATTATTGTAAAATCGATTCCAATCCCTACTTTTAGTATCCTTTCTTCAATTTAGGTAAGATTTCTCTTTTGATGATCTCTCTTTTAGGAATAATAGTGACCAATATTCCTTTTAGGGATTGTTTTCTTTTATTAAATTAAATATAGAAATAAATTACTACAATTGTAAATACTGTATAAAAAGATGTAATATTTCAATTAAGAATCTTAATAAAAAATCAATTATTATGCGATAATCTAATAAGAGTTTAATATCATTTTTCAACAAGAAAGGGGTCATGCTGAAAGAGATTATCATACTAAGTCATGTAAGTCGTGTGAATCATGTGAAACTTGATAAACTCAAAATTTAAAAACATTTAAATAATATTGTAAGAAGAATTATCATCACTTGTAAAATAAGCTGTAATACATCTAATAAATCAAGCCTAATTATAATATAATATAAATCAATTTTTGATAGAAAGGAGGTAAACAATACAATAAATGGGATTATGAAAATATATATTTCATTATCAGAATTATTTATACTAAACTATAGTTTAGTTCAAAAAGTATGGATCAATTTGGTAGTTCAGACATTCAGAATGATTATCCTTAGTGAGGTGATGTGTTGTGGTCAAGTAGATTCTGTAGAATCTGCAAAATGCAAAATGGCGTGATATTTAGATATATTTCAAGTCTTGCAATTCTTGAATTCAAATATATAAATCTTTAAAATACATACGATATAATACCAAGCCCAATATCAATATATTTATTTAATTGTGATGACAACATATCAATAATGTGCAACAATATAAACAAAATGTTTAACCATATAAAATATGAAAAAATTAGGGATAAAAGTACGCAGTAAAATATAAAAGTTTTTATATAAAATCACTTAAAAATTCGTTATATAAATTGCAGTATATCAAAATCATATTGATATGTTATTCAAAGTTTTCTCCTTTTTTTAATTATTTATGATTTTGAACCATATGAGATATAATTTGATTGGTATTAAATGGTTTTACCAGATTTAACCTGTAAATTTATTATTTTGGACGAAATAAAATAAACTTGAATTCATAATCAGTTTGATCATTATTTGAGTAGGTATTTTTATAATTATGCTGCAATTGCTGCATAGAGGCTAATGAAATTTGGGTCAGGTTTAAAACATTAATATATTGATATATTATAATTTTTCAGCGGAATTATAAATAGTCAATTTCAAACTTTTTAAATTGGTAAAATATGATAGAAATTATACGCTAAGTTGACCATTTGTCTAAAATTATTATATGGTATTTCATGTTTAATAAATGGTTTTCAACAAGTGATTCGTTACAAAAATGGTTAATGTTTAAATGACATAACATCAAATAATTTTAAGGAGTTTGAGTAATCTTCATTCCTTTAATTGATTTGCATATCTCTGATACAATTAAACACTATCATTTATACTTATTGTAAGGTGTAAATCTTAAATTTTTACTAACAAAAAGATAAATAATTTCATTAAAATAAATCCATTTTAAAATGTTAAAGGTTTTTCTAATTGTTGGATTCAAATATTTACAAAAGCTGATATAATTAAATAAAGACCTTTTATATGACATTGCGGCGGATTTATGAAATTTGGCAAAAACCTCTGCTGCACCCTCGGGAATTAAAATTGACTTACGGAAACATGTGATATCAATCAAAAATGTCAAATAATGACGCGCCTTTTAACACTGTAAAAATTGGTTAGACGCAAGATTTGAGGCACAAAAAGATTTTTGGGGCTCATTTTTGACTGTTCACTAATAAATTTGGGGACTTAAATTATTTTGTGACTAAAATACTGTCAAATATTTATTTGATTTGACACGACGGAGGTATTTCACCGTGATGAATTTGTTGATCATTGATTATATTTTTTAATAGTATTAACAGATCTAAATGATTATTGGGAAATAATATTGGAGTACAATAAAGAAATAATGATTTGTTTTCCATTTTGAGATTTGGCGAAAAATAGTATTTAAAATATAATACATTTCATCATAATTATGTAATTTTAAATAAAAAAGAAGACTGTCCTTGTGGCTATGTAGGCTATGTATGGCTAAGCAAAGCAACCAATCATATTTTATTGTATATTAAACATAAATATTAAAAGTGTACTATTTATTTGGCTATGTAATATTGCTGTGTAATTATGTATAGCTATGCATAATTATGTGTGGCTATGTGTGGCTATGTGACATTTTTTTTTAATATTTAACAGAGTGGTAAAGGGTGAATACAACATTTAGTTTTTTTTATTTTACTCACAAAAGTAATTGCAAATTACTCATAATTTCTAATATGGAATTCTAAGTTATATTCATTATTACCTTAATTTTGGTAAAGCTGTTATAAAAAATAAATAACATGCAAATTAAATTAAAGACAATACTTTAACTCAGACTTCAATTCAAGGTTCAATTAAAGGCAATACCTTTCAAAGTTCAACACAAGTTCTTTAAAGGCAAGGTTTGGATGAAAATTTTCAGTCTTTCAAACAGTCCTTGTAAAAAAAAATACATATTGTGGATTTACAAGAAATGTACAATAATGACAGATTGACTTATTAAATGATTTATAAAGATTAAAAGATTGAAAAATACTATAATTCTGTTTAAATTAAACCTGTATAAATATTTTATGATTTTTATATTGAATATGATTTTTTTTCTTGAAAAACCGATCATATTTAATTTTATAAAAAAGGTCCCACCTCACCATCATGCAAAACGCCATATAATATTAAAGTGCAACTTCAAAGGATAATGTTCATCAGCTACAGCAATAAAGTCAACACCTTTAACAACAAGTTTAATAACTTCTTTAATGGCAAGACAAATAGTTGCATGAACTTCAGATTC